AGTTGAATATATACTTAAAATAAACAGGTTAAATAAACGTTTTTTAAATATATAAAATCTTTTGTCTTTAAAATAATTAAATATAATAATAGTTTGAGTTAACTGCGATGAGTATAGGTTGGTGTAGTAGTTACAATATCATTGTCATCGGTGACACATACAACACGACGTGGATCAAACATTCTATTTTCCATACCATGTCTTGCATTATAAGGATGTAAGTCTATGATAAATAAATAAAAATAAAAATATATACTTTGATTAGAACAAAAAATTATTTTTACTAGTATCAAATGCTAATATTGCTTGAGAAGCCTGTTCAAAGGTTTGTCCGACTAATTCTGGCCATTGCTTATTTCCAGACATTATTGAAATTGATCAATATAATTCTGTACGTTTAATAAAATCTTACCTAGCTTGAATGTATGTCTTTATCGTCTGTAACTAGGTTTTAGTCAACAACGCTCGTCTTTTTTTTCTTTTATCCTTCTGTTCTGTCTATAAATTGACGGACGAAAAAAAGAAAAATGTAAAAGGTAGTTTATTTGCCTGCTCCGCTCGTCATCACACTAGCAACAACAATAACAACGATAATATCAGCAGAATGATAAAAATATATTTATCCAAGGCCAACTTTTTTTTATTGGATAAATATAGAATACTTTCTGTTCTGTATAGCTGTCGTATTGAAACAAGTTGATAGATCGAAGTATGACTGTATTTTGTATTCATTCTAAAAATAAATAATTCAAAGATGTCAAGAATATATATTTTCTTTGTCTTTACGTTATTTTTTTGTTGACGATAAAATGACGATCAGAATAGACAATTAACCTACATTTAAGTCAGAGAATCATTTATTTCTATTGAAATTAGTGCAATCTGATCAGATTAAAATTTAATGAAAATAATAACCTTGAAATTGCAGAAACTTCTCAGGGTTTGACTTTCTTTCTCTTCGATTAAAAAGAATAACAATTATTTCTAGTCATATTTACAATCAACTATTTTAAATGTTGAAATGAAGTATTTATGTAAAGATTTATTTAATAAAAATATTGATTCTTCAAAATTTTAGTAGTTTGAATCAATATTTGTTTTTATTATAAATAAAGTAAATCAAAATAAAAGTCTAAAATATTCATATGAGTAAAAATCTTGGATTTTTTATTGAATGATAAGTTAATTAGTAAGAAAACGATATTGTTTTGTTATAAAAAAAAATTACAAATACACTGAAAATTCTATTGATTATAAAAGCACAACTAATAGTTTCATACCATAAAATTTTATTAGGTACACAAAAAATCTGACTGGATTATTTTAATACAGATTTATTTGACATTAAAATACAACGAAAAATATGTCATATCTGTTTTTATGATTACGAAACAAAAACGATGTACTTTCTATTTATAAAGAATGAATATCAGCTATTATGCTAATATATCAAGTATTGCTCTTATACATTATCATAGAGTACGCATAAATATTTTTAAAATCTTACTGACGTACTTTTTTCATTCAATATTTATAAATAAACAAATATTCAACTATGGTTTATTCCTTCGGATATTTTCATGATTATTTGTACAATCCTTGATAATATATTCACTCTTATTTTTTTTGTTTATTATCATTATTGATAAAACATGCCATACTGTTCTGATGAGGCTTATTACATACTCATATGTAGTTCAATTTGTATGAACAAGTAATATATTTTCTATGGTTATATTTACACTTTACAGTGATATTAAACAAATTCAAGGCTATATAAGTTATATAATAACTGGAACACAATTGTGTTCTTATTTGTATATCATGAATTTGTGGTATTATTTATCCTATTTCAATAGTATTCACTGATCAAGTATATGTCTAATACCGCTTCGATTATCTTTCTTAACTATATAAATTCTTTGATAGCATTTATATTAGTCTATATTAAAATGGTTCAATATATAGAAAAAAAAGACTAAAACAAAAACTTTTTCGATGTTGTATCGTATTGTTATTATTTAGATGATGAGAATATAAACTAGAAATAATTGTAATAGAATCTTTGAATTCTGTCGTATGATCGATATCACTTCGTTACAATGAGCTTGCTGCATATAAAGAAAATCTACAATAAAGTTAATTTTTTAATCGAAATTTAAGTAAAACTAAAATATTCATCCACCAGCAGGAATGCTTTATATATCAAAGGAAATTGTCCAAGAAAAAACTGAATGAAGTATACACATCAAGAAAAAGTAGATTTCATCTCTATTTGCATCACTCTCATCCATATCATTGTTTATCAGAAAAAAATAAAATATGATGCAAGAAATTACCGACTAATGTTTGTACAATAAAATAATATTTTGCTGAAAAACAAAAAAATTAAGATCATATGTTTTGATCGTTGTTAATATACATTAGATATTTTATATTGTGGGGATAGTTTAGTTCATGTTTGCTGTAGTATAAGTTTTAAATGTTGTGAATATTGGTGGTGATGGCAGAACCCAATTGAATATATTTGTTTGTTGAGTTTCATGGGTATTATCGACACTTGCCTGAGTCATAATAATAGATTCTCTTTCACTCTGCGAAACAGGAACAACCTGATTATCGTTTGTTAGAGATAAACTTTTTATTTTGAAACCATGTGTAATCCAATGAAAGAGAGCATAAGCTGAAATAACAATAAAACCAACCATTGGTATTAAAAACGAAATACGAGTAGAATATTTATCAGCTATAGCACCTTGAATTGGTGGAAAAACAGCACCTCCAGAAATTGCCATAATTATAATACCAGCTCCACGTTTTGTATGACGGCCGAGATTAGTTGTACCCATAACGAAAATAGTTGGAAACATAATTGATTCGAAAAAATATAATGACATCAGTACAATGACAGCAGAGCGACCATGACCCGCAGATGTGTAAGCACAAAGACCGATACTAATTATAGAATAAATAAGAAGTATAAAATCAACTTGAAGCAAGTAGACCAATCCAATACCAACGAATCGTCCAAGAGTAAATATCATGAGAGCATATGATAAAAGATTCGATGCTTGAGAATCTGTAAAATCAGCATTTTCAGTAGCATAGTTGAGAAAAAAAGAGCCAACTGTACCCTAAAACATGTATCAGATCTAAATAGGTTATTCATATTTATCTAATAAATCTATTCGATAAAAGCAATTATATATGCATGTATCTTTTATTACCTGAGCACCAACACAACAAAACTGTGCTACAAATGCAAAAATCATATTGTATTGCTTCCACAATGGCTTAGTTTGTATTTTGATTGTATCCGTGGTATCATAAAAATCTTCATCATCAATGATGACTTCGGGTAATTTAGAAAAGATAAAAACAATAGCGACTAGTATTGCAGTACAAGAAATAGCTATGTAAACATATTTAACATTATCAAGATTATCAGCATTTTTATCTGAGAAGAACACTTTAGATGCAATGAGTGGACCGATAAATGATGCTACACCATTCCATGCCTGGCAAAATTGTAACCGCAAAGAAGCTGATTTTGGATCACCAATAACAGTTGCATACGAATTAGCTGCAATTTCTAACGTACCAAGACCACAAGCAATAACAAAAGTACAAGCAATAAAACCTCCATAAGCTTGTTTAGTATTATCTGGTGTAGAAAAATGAGCAGTTGGCCAGAAGCAAATAGCTCCCAACGCATAGAGAACTAAACCTACAACAATGGTAATTTTGTAACCTTTACGTCTGAGTAATTCGGCAGCAATTGGTGAGAAAAAAAAATAACCACCACCAAAATAAGCAACTTGCAATCCAGTAGATTCAAGTTTTGTAATTTGGAGAACATTTTGAAAATGTTTGTTTAGTACATCAAGAAGGCCATATGAAAATCCCCAAAGAAAAAACAGAGAAGTGGCTAAACATAAAGGAAATATAAGTTGACGACCTTTGAGATATGAACGAGTGACTGAAAGAGGTTCAATAATTATACCACCAGCCATTTCAAATGATATAGTTAATTCGATAGATTAGTTTGACTTACTAAATTAAATAAATTATCTAGAGATACAAATCAAAACACGCGTAAGTAAAAGTAAAGTATACTTTTCAACAGATTATTGAAACTATGTATCACATATTTTTATTTATGATGTTTAAATATATATACATGTATATCCTTTCTTTTGATTTTTATATCGCATTAAAACCATTTACAGATCGAAATACACTTTAAAGATACAAAATCATTTACAACATGCAAAGATTTATATGACAGTTAGATGCAATTAAACATTATCATAGAAGAGAGTTGTATACAGATTATATATACGTATATGTATATCACATACCAAGGTAAATTAGAATTACTTAAAAAAGTGTAATACAATGCATTGATCGACAATAGAAATAGTTAAAACTGAAAAATTATCTCGAAAATAAGCTCATCTATTGTTTTATTTTTTATGAAAAAATCTACAAAAAGTTGTCATTTAACAAATGATGTATATATATACAACATTGAAGATCAATTGAGAAATATGAAAATTAAATTGATCAAAAATTAAATAAAAACATGACCTAGATTAGTGTAAATGGTGATTCTTCATAGACGTAAAAGAAAATGTATCTTCGTAGAAATCATATGATCCTTGAAATATAAAACAACTTACCGATATAAATGTATATGTGAAATTTTTTTTTTTTAAATAACTGGTTTCTTTATACTAGAGATGGAACAATCACACTTGATACACTATTCTTTAGCCTTTGGTTATCAAAACACTTTATCGAATATATTTTGTAATAATGGCATCAATGCATATTCAATTATTCTTTTATGTTACGTTTTCATGAACTTTTATCATCTCTTGACTCTTATGTAAAAGTATGAAGAAAAAGAATTTGATTATGAATTCATATTTACACAAATTTTATTGCACAAAAATTGAGAAAAAAGATTATTAATATTATTAAGAAGAAAAATTTAGTCATGAAATATAGTTTCTTTCGATTAGCCAATTGTGGAATAACGTTGGCCAAATACTTTCAGCTTGTTCATCCTCGGCGAGTCCAGCACCATGCTTGCCTTGTTCGAACATATGAGCTTCATACGAAATACCAGCATCTTCTAGGGCCTTAATAAATAATACACTATTTTGTGAACTGATTTGTTTATCATCGACACTCTCGAATATGAAAATAGGTGGAATATTTTTAGTGACATGCTTCTGTCCAGAGAGATAATTCTCTAGACTTGTTAGTTCATCTCCAGTATATCCGAATAAGAGATGTTTCCTTGATGCGTTTGAAGCATATTGTTGTGGATCCATGGAGATGACTGGATAGCCGAGACCAAGAAAATTTGGTCGTGCATTCGTTGAATCCAAATCATCTTGATCTGTTAGATTAAAATTTTGATTAGAATGAAGAGCAATCGTTGATGCTAGGTGACCACCAGCCGAAAAACCAAAGAGACCTATCTGATCAGGATTGATTTTAAATTGCGCAGCATTGTAACGTACATAACGAAGTGCACGTTGACCATCCCACATAGGCACTGGATATCGATAAGTGCCATCTTTCTGTACTAGACGATAGTATAGAATGAAACTTGTGATACCTTTAAGAATAAAATCAAATCAACTTTAGCTCTATGTACAATATTCGAATTATTATATTAACAAGCAATTGTTTTTTTTGTTCTTTAACTTCTTTACGTACCTAACTTATTTGCAAAGTATTGAGCAACAGGTGTTTGTTCGTTGCTATCAGTCAGTTTATCGTAACCACCTCCCGGAATTATGATAATACCAATATCGGTTTGAGGAGCTGACGCATTCGGCATGAAGACTTTAAGAAATGGAATATCTTTGCAAGAATCATTACCGACTGCTCCAGGAGCGCTATTATTCCACAGACGCAAGTTACTTTCGTCATCTGATTCATAACAGGGTGGCGGCGTCGAAGTTGAAGTTTTCGCTTCCATATTTGCGTTTGCTGATCTTTTTTGATAGCGAGATCTTAGTCTAAAACGATCGATCATTTTAAGAATGTTTTTTTCATTCAAAGTATTTGAATATTTCATTAAATTACAATTAACACCAAGCATCTGGTTGATAATGTAAAATTGTAGAAGTAGGAAAGACAGAAGCATACCATCCATATAAATAAGCTGCTTCATTGTTCTTGTTGCTTTACTATTTAAAAAAAATCAGTTGATTGAGGAGAAAAAAAATTGTTTTAATCGTTAGATATTTATATAACGTATTTTTATTCACACAAAAAATAATGCGCAAACGAAAAAAATCCCCCCTATACATGCGTCATCAGTGGGTAGTATTTACTATTTATATATATACATGGACGTAATTTTAAGGTGACGTACGACCATTCTTTCCTTGAGAAGAGCGTCGAGTATATTCTATTAGCAATATACAGCAAATAATATATCTCTTTATGTCGTTTCGTTTTATCATCGTTCTTTGATTGTATGTATAGAAAACTATCACGTGGTGAGAAAAAAAGATAAATTTCAATTGCGTAGTATGTATAGAGTACGTAATAGAAATGAATTTTGTTCATATTAAACAATGAAAATTATAAAAATAATTTTTATACTAAACTTTAATAATTCCAGGAACTCCATATTATACTGATAGACCCGGCAAGATCTTTTATGAAAATCTATACAACATGAATAATTTCATTCTAATCCTATGAAATTTTATTTAGAAATAATTGAGTATAATTTAATTATATAAAACTAGTTGAATAAAGTTATTTTTATAAGGTACAGATGAAAATAAATAATTATTTAAATGCATTTAAAATATCAAGAACAAAGCGATATTTTACATCAGCTTTGACTGTTCGATCATAAGCTGTTTTAATTGTTTCTGGTGTTGCTTCAATCTTTTCAATATCACATGTAATATTATGTTTACCACAAAAATCAAGCATTTCTTGAGTTTCTTTCATTCCACCAATTAAACTACCAGTAATTGTCGGTCGTTTCATTAGAAGAGTAAATGCTCCAATTTCAAGAGGTTTTGTTGGTGCTCCAACTCTAAATATGAAATAAATTATTTTAAATGTATAATATATAATAAATCATACATACGCGCAATAGACTCCTTCAAATTTTAACAAATTAAGTAAAGGTGCGACATCATGTGGTGCTGATACTGTATCAATAATCAAATCTAATGAATTTGCAGCTGTTTTCATTTGTTCATCATCTTTTGAAACAAGAAATGCTTTAGCGCCAAGTTTCATTGCATCATCACGTTTCGATTCGGAAGTTGAAATGACGGTAACATGAGCACCCATAGCTGCGCCAAGTTTAACTCCTATATGACCTAAACCACCCAGACCAACAATTCTAAAATATGAAATTAACGTCTCATATAATTAAAAACAGTATTAAATAAATACCCTAATTGTGTATGTTTGTCGACTTTATAACGTCGTAATGGAGAATAAGTTGTAATACCAGCACAAAGTAATGGTGCTGCGGCATCTAATGGTAAATTTTTAGGAATTTTGCAAACAAAATGTTCTTTAACAATAATTAAATTGGAATAGCCTATAAATAATAGAACAGAAGTGATTATAATATTTATAAAATAATATTTACCTCCATATGTTGGTGTTACTTTATCAAGTTCAGTACTATTGTATGTTAAACATGAATCAGCGCAATTTTGTTCAGTATCCTTTTTACCTAAATAGTTTAAACATAGAAAAAAACAATAATTATTAGAATAGAAGATAATTACAAATGTGACATTTGCGGCATGAATCAACCATACAACCGACACCAGCATGATCACCTGCACGAAAATGTTTGACACTTGAGCCAACTTGTTCAACAACACCAGTAATTTCATGACCTGGTACCATAGGATATTTTGATCTTTGCCATTCATTATATACTTGATGAATGTCCGTATGACAAATACCACAATAATGAATACGAATAACGACATCATCAACTGCAGGCATACGTCGTTCGAAATTAAACAATTTGAACGGATCGGATGCACTATCAACAGCATATCCTTTTGCAGCAATTCCAAGAGGTGATGTTGTATTAGCAGTAGTTCTAATATAGAATTAGATAGGATAAATAATAAAAAGAAGAAAACAAGATAATTTTTAGTATTCAATTTTATGAATCTTGTTTGTATTTCTCTCTCTCAAAGTTTTTATTTTAGAATAATATATACACGTATACTTACTGCTTAGAAGTCATAGTTAATAGACAAGTATGATATATTCAAAGTGTGAAATTGTCTAAATGGCAGTATAAACAATAATACTTTTCTTTCACTTTACACTACTATTTATACAGTTTTTTTTGCATCGTCATGATGCGGCAGTGCTTCTTATAATTGCTAGTGACAAAGCATTTTTTTTCTTTCTCTTCTGTTTGTATTTTCTTAGACAGCGACTATAATTAACAAATTATTTATTTGCAGCACTCGAAGTATGAACTGAAAGAAAAGTGCGCACTTTTAGTATATTTTTAGAAATTTTACTGTGTTGTATAATGCGAAAAAAATATGAACTAATCTTTTTTGAAATTGAAAATGAGTTTTTTCATATTGATAATGTAAATAAATACTTGATCTATTAATTATTAAGATAGATCTCATGAAACATATTTTGTAGATAATTTGCCATTTTTATCTGAGAAAAGAACAATAAGAAATCAAAATATATAATACTGTATTAATATACATACTAAAGGTCACAATTGAAACCCCATCAAGTAACAAATTAGCAAGTTCTCAGAAATAAATTAGAAATATTGTACGTGTTAACTCGTAAACGACAGATAAAGTTATTTTAATTATTATAATTTATACTTTATTTAATAAGGAAAAAAATATCGTTTTATACACATACTGTACTTTCATTGCATACAAGTGAATGGCGAGTACGATATATGTATGTATTTTTTCAATGCATTCCTACTCTGTTCCAGTTCCTTTCATTTTTCTTTATTGACTTCTCTTCACTATGTACATTGCGATTAATTAGAAAATAAAATAGATGTTTATATTTAATTAATTTAATCGATTGTCCCGTTAACAAGCGTCATCTGATAAGGTACATCTAATGTATATAGATTGGAATAACAACCAATCAAACGTCTTAATCATTTATTGTTATTTATACCTTGTCATTATTATATACGTTGGCAAAGTACTGGTATCATTGTTCTTTATGTTTTACCTTTCTTATCTATAACCCTTGATCAAATACACTTTTTTTTATTCTCATGATATAAAGAGACTTAAAAAAACACAGACAACATACTATCAAAATGAATTCTATTTCATTTTTTGTGAATGGTAAAGAAATAATTGATTGTAATGTTGAACCTGAATGGACTGTTCTTTGGTATTTAAGAAATAGTATGTATTCAAAAATATTTGCTATACTAAATAATTTTTTTTTTATTATTTATAGAATTAAGACTAACTGGTTCAAAATTAGGTTGTGGTGAAGGTGGTTGTGGTGCATGTACAGTTCTTATTTCGCAATGTATTGATCGAGAATCTGGTGAAATTGAACATCGTACAATAAATGCTTGTTTAGCACCTTTATGTTCTATTGATGGATGTCATATTACTACTGTTGAAGGTTTAGGTTCAGTAAATAAATCAAATCTTCATTCTGTTCAAACTCGTCTTGGTGAATTATCTGCTTCGCAATGTGGATTTTGTACACCAGGAATGGTTATGTCACTTTATGGTACACTTATATCAAAAGATAATATTTCACCAACTATACATGATATTGAAGAATCTTTTGATGGAAATCTTTGCCGTTGTACGGGATATCGTCCAATTCTTGATGCTGCAAAAACATTTGCATGTGATATTGATAAAATTTATCATGAAAAATCATCATCATTATCATCAACAACATTTGATAAATGTTCTTCATATATTCAAAAAAATTCTTCTCCAATTAATAAAATCGAATTTCCTTCCAAACTTCTAAATTACATTCCTCAATCAGTTCATATTAAAGGTTCAATTGATTGGTATCGTCCAGTATCTCTTCATGAATTACTCAATCTTCGTCATACATATCCAGGTAATCAATCAAAACTTATTTTTGGTAATACAACAGTACAAATAGAAAGAAAATATAGAAAGATTCATTCATCTCGTTTAATTTCTATAACTCATATAAAAGAATTACAAGAAATAAAACGAACAAACGATTCAATATATTTTGGTGCTGGTATTACATTTACACATTTAAAATCAAAATTAATTGAATGGAATAATGATAATGATCATTTTTCTAAAGCTTTACTTCATCAATTAAAACATTTTGCATCAACACAAATACGAAATGTTGCTTCACTTGGTGGAAATATTATTGCTGCTTCACCAATGTAATTAACATCAGAGGAAAAATTTGATTTTTTATAAAGATAATTTTTTGTTATTGTTTTTTTTAGTTCTGATATTAATCCAATATTAGAAACTGCAGGTGCAATACTTGAATTACACCGTGCTGATCAAACAGAAGTACGACGTATTTTATTAAGTGATTTTTATCTTGGTGATCGTCGTGTATCAATGGCTGATAATGAAGTACTTGTTGGTATTCATATTCCTCTGCCAAATTCATCAACAAATAAATATTTTCTTCAATCATATAAACAAGCTCGTCGTCGTGATGATTCAAAAGGAATTGTTAGTGGTGGATTTCAAGTTGAACTTGAACAAACGAATTTAGATAATAATCAATGGAAAATTGTTTCAATTTGTTTTTCATTTGGTGGAATGGCATCGAAAACAATTCAAGCAAAGCATACTCAACAACAATTAATTGGATTACCGTGGACAAAAGAAACAATTAATCAAACATACCAATTACTTCTTGGTGAAATGCCACTTGATGAATTAAGTCAAGGTGGTCAAATTGAATACAGGTAAATACTTATTTACTATAGAATTTATTAGTAACAGATACATTGATTGTCAATAGAACTTATGTTTAATAATTTGTTTAGACGAACATTAGTTCAATCATTTCTTTTTAAATTCTATTCTTATGTATGTAATGAATTACGTCAATCAA